GGAATAGCAGCAGTAAATAAAATCATTCCACCTAATTTTCTTGATTCGTCTATTATACACAAATTTTTTATTAAATTTACTGGGTTTGTTAAAAAAAATATTGAATACTTTTAAATTAAACAATGGTTAAATTTTATGCTTGGGGATGTAACATTTCGTGTCAATTTTGTTACGTCTCGCGCACAGCCGCTTTCAGATACAACAGAAGGAAACTTCGATCGATATGTTCTATTTATAGCAATTAGAGTGTCGTAAAAGATTTACGAACTATGGCTGTGTTCAAATTTTGAAAGTATTATTTCAAAAATAATCATCATAATTTTATATGTATTTTCGTTTCAAAATGTTACGTCTGTATACACGTGTCATACATCAAATACTCGGGTGACCAGAGGACGACATCCTGTTTGTATGACATTTTCTGGTCTCTACTTTCATTTTTGGTGAGACCCGTGCACGTGTTGGATCAGTTCCAAGAAAATGATGACAGGAGACGCGAGTAGTAGGTAGGTCATTTACATGTTACGTCTCTCATTTTTTGGGACCTCATCTTTTTCAGCAATTTAAGGATGTATTTTGAAAAATATAAATGCCAGATTTGCGTGTTTGCAAAGAAATAAGAATTAATTTTGTAATAAACCGTAAATATTGAACTATGCTACACTAATCTAAGAATTATGCTTATTTATTTTCACACTATGGTTGGACTGATTGTGTCCACAGTTACATCACGCCCCCCAATCAAGTATGACCTAAATCTTTTAATTTAAAAATGTTCATTTACATGTGATTAAATTTCAACTGATTGAGCTTAATTTAATTGTATCAAGTTATAACCATTATAAACTCTATTTTAGAAAATTTTAGAAAATATCTGAAAATTTATAAAAGATGTAACTTTGACGAGATTATTAAGTTTCATCGTTACATCACTATTTATGAATGTGCAAATTTTTTTTGTTGATTTGCTTCTGACAAAAATACCTAATTGTTGTTTTAAGAAGTGCAAAACGCACAATAAACTTGAGTGAAATAGTGTGTTTTATACATTGTTCTGCCATGCTTAAACTTCATTACAAGATGTAACATAGGACACCAGTTTTTGTGTCCAAGTTAAATTTGTGAAAATATCATGAGATCAATGTTACATCACTATCAAAGTATGAGTATAGATCTTAATATCCTTGTCAAACTACCTTTTCACCATTTTTTCTTTTCTTTTCAGGTCATAGAATGGCCACGGATCTCTTCTGTGACTCTTTAACTCCGATAAAATCAAGATTGATCTCTTGACAGAAGATAAAATGACGTTTGTGTAGAAAGGGGCATATACAATACAATGTATATTATTTAAATAGAACTGAAAATTTGTTCAATTGTTTACTTATTTATTAAGTTAAAATTTTCTTAAAGTTTCCTGTGATCTGATTCAAAGTAAAAACTTAACAGTGAAGTAAATTTAAAAAAAAAGTTTGCCAGAAGGCTTCAGTGTCCAGTGTTACATCTCTATATGTTGAAATGAGGCATATAATTTTCTTCCTTTGCCATATGATTATGCAAACTTGAGCAAAAAATGCCAGAATGTAAGTGCAAATCCTTTAATAAAAAATTTGTTCAATTAATTTTAATTCTGGAGAAAATTTTCATTTCTGTGTGCTGAAGTTTGTGTCCTGTTACGTCTGAAACAGAAGGTGATCTTTTTATGCATTAGTCTTTAGATTTGAGTGTAAATGAGAACAATGGACAGAAATTTTGTATACAAAGGAACAAAAATGAGTGTCACAAGTAAGATATAACGCAGTTGTAATAAATTAATTTGAATTAAATTTGAAGTGTCTCCGTTACATCACTCAATACTAATGAATTAAATTTTAATTGTATTTTAATTGTTTCAAGTGCAACTATCTCGGCCTTCCTAGGTGACTTGGTCCTGATACTAATCTTCAATTTGCAACAATTTTTAGAGTGATATCTTTAGTCTGAAATATTGGACACAAAGCTTTGTGTGATGTAACAAAAATTCCTTGACAGTGAATTTAAGATCATATTCATTTTTAAAAAATTTGATCCCCCATTGTGGCACACACCCTACCCCCAGGGGTCCTTATTTGAGCAAACTTGAATCTACACTATGTAAAGAAAGTGTCCTATGAGCTTAAACTTTTTTGGCCCAGAGGTTCTAGATCTTGAGTGGAAAATTTTTTTAAAATATGCCATCAAATTTTCACTACATGAATTTATTTATCATCTCCCCTTGATTGAGGGTGTGACCCTCATTTGAGCAAATTTGAATTCCTTCATTCAAGGAAGCTTTGTGGCCCAGTGGGTTTGGAGAAAAAGTTGAAAATTTGAGAAGTTTACAGACAGAGGGACAAGCAGACAGCTAGATGGACAAACAGACTACAGACAAAATGTTATCAGAAAAGCTCATTTGAGCTCAGGTGAGATGAAAAATATATGCTACATATAATCATGATAATAAATAATAAATTTAATAAATTTCTGTCAGTAAAACATTTGAGAAACAAGCTGATGGAAACTTTTTACAGACGGCATGACAATATTTTTCATGGTGCTTAAATGATCTCACATTATTTACTGGATAGACCTCTCTCTGATGCAAGGTTAGAAAATTGCCATAATGTGGTGGGAAAAAAGTTTTAATTTCTGTACTCATTGTCGGAGTCATTCAGGAAACCATTTTAGCATGGTACAATTTATAAACTTCTTTCAATGGAAATTACAATGAAGTCTTCACAGTTTGATTAGTAAAAACTAGAGTGTTTCACAGAACACATGTGTCGCCTGCTTTTAGCTTCATTAAAGATGTAAATAAATGTAAGAATTGTCAGCTATTTATTTGCTACATGCATAGTAAGACTGTCAGTGATGGAATCCAATAATCAAATCGAAATACAAATCTTCAACCCCTCAAAGCTAAAATGAATATTAATGAAATTGAAATTAAAATAAGTTGTATATCGACACAGTAAAATATTTCAAAAAGTAGGTCAAAGGTCAAGAGGTTGGTAACCATGGTAAAATGCAAAAGCCATAGTGCCAAGCTGTACATGTGCAAAATATGAAACCCATACCTCTTACAGTTCTTGAGATATAAGGTGTAACAGACGTGAGGACAGACAGCTAGACAGACAGTCAGACACCGGGTAAAGTGATCCCTACATGTAAGTGTCACTCTGCTCTGCAGGCTACAAAATGACACATCATGGACGCAAGAACCCGGGAGGGGGGGGGGGCATCCCCCCCCCAATAATTTTGTCGATATATAGAATACTATTTTTTTTTTTGCTTGTCAAGGAATTTTGGTAGTTGATAGTGCCCCCCCCCCACTGAAAATGTTTGGCTGTGCCCCCCCCCCCCCCCAACTGAAATTGCTTCCTGCACATGTGCTGTAGAAAAGCAAAGATTCAAACGTTATTCAGTGTTACACAACACTAAACATGCTGCTAACTAAAAATGACACTTACTTAAGTAATCAGTCTAATACAGTGAATGTCTTTTATATAATCAAAGTAAATAAGTTGATTTCAGGATTATTTAGTTTTAATAAGAGAAAACATAAATGTGTAATGGTTTGGGCCGTGTATATCTGCCTAGGTAGCTCAGTTGGTAGAGCACCTGACTAGTGATGCAGGGGTCCCGGGTTTGATTCCCGGTCCAGCCATACATTTTCTCCTTTCCTGTTAAAGATTTGGTGCCGTTGACCACCCCTAGACTTGCAGGTGAAAGTCCCGCCAGGGGCAAATAAGAACTTGGTTGTGTTTTCGAGGGCGAAGACAATTTAAGGAGGGAGGAATGTAATGGTTTGGGCAGTGGATATTGGCCTGGGTAGCTCAGTCGGTAGAGCACCTGACTTGTGATGTAGGGGTTCCGGGTTCAATTCCTGGTCCAGCCATACATTTTCTCCTTTCCTGTTACACGTATACCATGTATACACAAGTCACTTGCAAGATTTAGTAAAACCCTTGACAGAAAACATACGGAAATTTAATGATCATTGATTGATAACAAATTTGTTGTTCTCAGCCCTGAATAAAACTCCATGTTGTGAAAATGAAATAATTCTTGACATTTATGTAATGATTTACCTTGAGAATAGTTATTTTGCATTCTTTGTTTATATTTTTAATCATATACATGTATCCCCTAGTTTTTATGTTCAGATTCTAACTGTAATTAGATCTCGAGAGTAGTCAAAATAAAAGTAAAATTAAATTAAGTTCTAATCTTAAACATCAAATTTTTATCAACAAGAGTTTAAACAAGTGATTGAATATTTGAATACCCTATTTCTAATCGAATATTATAAACCTTTACTATTCCTTCACAAATATTCAAACATTCATTTCAGCTCAAAATATTTTTTTTTTTGTTTATATAACATTGTCTTAAGGTACATAAACCTCTGCTTACTTACATAAAATTTTATTTTAATTCAGATGACTTTCCAACAGAAATGTATTTTATAAGTAAAATACAAACAATGATATTATAGCTTGCGGGGCAAAATTAAACAAAAAAAGACATTTCAACTTGACAAATCTATAAAGGAATAATAGACATTTATGTCATTAAGAGTTATCTCTCTTATCAGAGTATCAATGAACCTTAAAGTACTTGGCAAAATAAGGAATTGCAACTCAGTATACTTTGTCTGATTTCTTTTAAATGGCAATACTTTTTGTTTCAAAATTTGAAAAAAAAATGAAAACTGAAAAATAATCATAACCTCTTTATTTTTTAACCAATTTCAAAAATAATATTGTGTTTTAGAAATGATTTTAAAACCTCTTAATTATTAGTATAATGTCACAGTGCTGCTTTTTAATTTAAAAATCATGTTTCATAGTTAGGTCAACAAGCTGGTCAATATTTCACCATTATTATACACTGACCAGCTAATTCATCTGTTTATCTGAAGTTGATATAAATTTGTTGTGATAATTAAGCCAGGCTGTTCATTATCTGCTTTTGCTTACCTTCATCCTAAGTCGACAGTCATCTAAATCCCAAGGCCATACTCGGTGTAGGTCGACGGCGGCATATTTTATATGTATACATCAGCCGAGACGATATCAGGCACCACAAAATCATTATTCATTTATAATACACTTGAATTCTTTTACTAGCGATAGGAAAAAAACAGGAACAATTCAGACGAAACTACTGTCCTCCATCATGCTCCACCCTCATGCCATTTGTATCAAATTCAAACTCCGATCCCGATTCTTATGTATGTTGCTGAATAACGCGGGAAGGGGGGAAATATCAAGGGGGTTACAAGAAAACGATTAATTTTTTTTCTTTATGATTAAAATTCTTAAAAGAAAAATTTACATGTATCAATATCTCTATTTTATTATAGGATATCTAGATTATTTTCAATGTTAAAAAAGAATAGCACACTTTTTTATGAAATGTCGAAGGCTTTCAGGAAATTTATGTGCGATCCGTTTTCTTTTCTTTCTTTCTTTTTTCTTTTTTTTTTAAGATTCATGTCTAGATGAACAAACAGTTCACTAAATAAAATATTTTGTTAAACACAAAGGAATCAAAAAATAAATAAATTAAGATTTATGAAAGCCGAAGATACACTACATGTGAACAAAAAGTATGCGATTCGTTTTTAATATTTATTTCTCGATAAATAAAATAATTTGATAGTAAATGCTTATTATTCGATTTTAGTGACAAGCATGCTACTTTGCATTTACATGAAAAATGAACTAAAATTCAGACAAAAAGAAATTTATTGGGTTCAAGTCGTGAGATTAAGGAAAATTAAATTATTTTACATGTATATTACAAAACAAAAGGAAATCTATGATTTTAATTGTTTCATTTCTTTTAGAGTTAACCAAATTAACTTAAAAAAGCTTTTCAGTCTACACATAATTTTATCAAATCAATCTTTGCAATTATTTTATTTCCTTGTTAAATAGTTCCAGTAGACCAATACATAGTACGCTACACTAAAAAAGTAAATAGATAAATATATAAGAAAATAAATAAATCAATCAATCAATAAATGAAAAAAAGAAATTCAGAATGATTTTTCTTACAATCTGATTTATTATGAAGATAACATATTTTATGCTATTTGAACTTCATCGATGTGGAGAATGTTTTGAAAAAAAATTGTTATATTAATTTCTAATCCAGGTGTAACCGTGATCAATAGAAGTTTTTGAAAGTCTCATATGTACAACTCTCTCTCTCTCTCTCTCTCTCTCTCACATACACAAAACATCTTACTTTTTCTTTCTTAAAGTGATCCTGGATGCAAACTTCTTTTTTTAATTAAACATGTTTATCTCTAGAATGGAAGAGGCAAGATTTTTGACCTACATATTTCCGGTATGTGCATTGCCCTGGTTAATATCACACTTCCTAAATCAAGGTCGTCTGCATAAGGCAGCGTGCTTATCTATCGGTTACTTGTACAAAGATTTAATTTTAAAAGAAGTGGGGGGGGGGGGTCATGATCGAGGTGAATATGATTTGCAAGAAAAAATGTTCCATCGTATTGATGACAAAAAAAACATGTTACGCACTGTACCATACTTGTATTTGCTATCTACAGTAGCAGAAAAATGCTAATAATAAAGGAACGACTAGTCATGACACGTAATTATTTAACTTTCCTTTATGTATGTTATCATTAGACGAAGGAGCTAGATGAACCGTATATTATGCCATTTTATACTGAATACTGTAAAGGTTCAGGATTAATTACCTCAAAAGATTTTCAAAACAGTCCTGGAAAACTTAATATTTGTTACATATTCATTTTAATGAAAAAAATCGATGGTGTAAATCAGCTCCTATAGCCAGAACTATTGTATATTGTCAAATATAAAAACCTGTATTTTGTTGACTTACATGTAATAAATGTTTCTGTAAAAACGTAGAAACTATAGATCGAAATGTAAGTTATTTAATACACATAATATATTTAAAAATATTAAAGTGGATTTTCTCTTTTAGAGAAGTATAGAAGGCTAGTTATTAACTGTCTATTTCTCCAAAGAAAATACAATCGGGGGGGGAGGGGTAAAAATATTGACAAGCAATTAATAAACAGAAAAGGTCATTAGTCTTTTACAAACTCTTATAATGGAATAGATTTTTAGTTTATTTTTATTTTAAATGATTGTACGTTTCAGAGGATCGATGATCTTTGATTTGCAATTTATTTTGCATGAAAAAAAATTTAGTCTCATACATTTATAGACATGAACAACAATTTCCTAAGATGAATTTCATCTTTTATTATCTTTTTATAAGTATAGACATGAACAACAATTTCATCTTTTTTTATCTTTTTGTAAGTATAGAAGTATTTGGGGGGGGGGGGGGCTTTTCGTATATCATTTGAAGCATAATTATACCAAATAAGAAGTGGGATAATTTAATTGTTATATATCTAGATGCACTGCATTTCAAAGAATGAAATTAAAGGTAAACAACATAGATAATAAAGTACACGAATTCCCCACCATTCTACAAAATATGCTATGATTTTATAGTTCATATTTTGAAACTTAATTATTTTCATTCCAACTGAGCATTGAACTGTGCCCCACACATTTTGGACGAAGTATTATTATGTATTGCTATTAGCAATGCTTAATTATAGTATAGTATCATCGAATGACCTTCTTTTTCTTCTTGTCAAAAGAACGTTCATGTACGTTCTTGAAGGCTATCTGACATGCACCAGGAACTCCCTGGAAGTTTTATGATCATACGATTTTGCTTAAGAAAACAATTAAGCAAACAAATTAAAAAAGTCTGCAACATCTTGTTTCTTTTCCTTTATCTATTCATTCATTTATTCAATTTTTTATTTGTATGAAACCCAATTTCATTTTACTTATTCAAAGATTCATTTGTTCTCTACATTTTTTTAATGAAATAATTCTGATACATGCATTATAATTAAATGGAATCTTAAGATACAGCAAGACCCCCAGTGAGCCTCTCGTTTACACGAATGCCAGACTTTTTTTGTTTCAATCGCTTCGTCGGGGAAAACAGATTTTTGACCTACATTGCCCTGCTTTTTAAGAGAGTCGTCTGCATAGGAATGCGGTATTGCTGTATCAATTTACAACTTGTGCAGAAAATCTGAAATCCAGCAAAAACCACAAGCTAGCTAGCAAAATTTGCCCCCCCCCCCTTCTTTAAGATCTTAATATGTGAATAGAATAGAAAAGCATTTATTTCCATATCAGGGATCTAAGAGGCATAAACATATATACTTACAGACAAATACAATGAAGAGTTATTCTTCGAGTTAGTACATTTCTGATATTTCTAAAATTTCATATGCAGATAAGAGTTATTTTTAATATTTATATATTTTCTCTTCCATGATTGTGATTTGAAAGAAAATTGTTTTATATGAATTATATAAATTCTCGATTAAAGACACAATTACCGTTTTTTTTTAAAGTTATGAAGTATCTTGGTTTTCTAATCATGGAAAACATATAACTCCATATTATATGTCACATGCAAACTGATACCACATGTAGTAATAAGTTGACAGCCCCTGTGTACAGTTTGTCAAAAAACAGATTTCAAAATCAATCGAAAATGTCACTGGAAAATATTTGAAATGAGCTGAAAATGGTATATATAAAGTGACTTAGAAAAAGAAATAAGAGTGAATCACCTGAAATAAATTATTTGAGAACTTCAATATTTCCCTTTTTGGCTTTTGATTCCCATGCAAATATATACTCAGTTTTTTTTATTTAATCAATGTACATGTATAAGAAATACTCTCACACATTGTCTGCTTCAAAGCACCCTGACTGTGCTCTTGTGCTCATGAAAGTTTGAATTGAGAAAGTCTGAACAAAATTTCAATAGTATTTGTAGATTTCTACCAAAATTCAAGGTATATGCACTATTGCAGGGCTTAAGAAAAAGTAATAAAGATGTCACTTATTATTTAACTATCTCTTTAAATCAAGCCCACATTATATGTCATATATGCTAAAGCATGCACAGCAGGTGGATTTCAAATCATTACAAACTCAATATAACGAGATAAGATAAAGAGATGTAAATTAAATGAGCTAGACATAGAATATAATTTAGTGATAAGAGTTGATCATTAGCTTCTAGTTTTTTTGTCGTTAAATTATTTGTCAAAATTTCCATTTTAGTCTCAAAGTTTTTAAAATCATGGATTTACCTGTAAAATATGCTACTTAGTGATGTTTCAATAAATCAATAGATGTTGGAAATACCCCCATAGATTGTCTGCTTCAAAGAATTTGCCTGTGCTCATGTGCACAGGAGAGATTAGGTGATAAAAGTGCAAACGCAACCTGATTTTGTATTTATAGATTTCTCATAAATCATAAAAGGATTTCTTAAATTCTATTTTGCAGGATAACAGAAAATTATTAAAGTAATGAAGTAATACCCTTAACTAACACTGTCTCTTTGCATCGTCAAACTTTGTAAGTCCGCATTATATGTCATAATGCAACTAATAGTAAATAGCTGATAGATTCCTTACAAATCAGAAAATTTAATTAGTTATAAAAGTGGATTAGGAGCCTTTCATATCCTGTCATGAAATAACATGAAAAAAATCTCCTTTTGTCTCTATTTTTAAAATAATGATTTCCATAAGAATATATACCTTAGTTTTGTTTTATTCCATCAGTTGATGTAGGAAAGGGCTTTGCTTGTGCTCATGTGCAAATGAGAGTTCGAATGAAAAAAATATTCTTGAGTCCATCCTGTTTTGGTATTTAGAGTAGAAATTTCTCTCTAAATTCATTATAGGACTTCTAAAATTCAAAGAAGCACAATTGCATGGCATTTTTAATGACATTGATATATGACATTTAACATCCAACTATATCAGAGTATCATCAAAATTAATTAGACCACATATCATATTGTGATAAGTAGTAAAGTAGCTGACAACAGATGCCTTGCTAAAATCTGTACAGCATGTAGATTTCAAATCATTAGAAAATACCAATGCTCATTCATTCTCATCATAACTTGAAAATGATAGACTTAAAGTGATCTAGATATACTATTTACTTTAATAATAAGAGTTGATCATCAAATTCCCATTTTCTGTAGTAAAATGACATGAAAAAATTCCTTTTTATCTCACATTTATTAAAGAATATTTCCCTGCAAG